ACGACTCGGTTCGGAGTGGGGGTGGTGCGGGTCTCGGTGCGGGTGATGTAACTGACCCGATTCGGTCCCTCGCGGGGGGATCAGGAGCTGTGTTGGGGAGAGGAGTGAGCACCTGGGCCAGGTCGGGCAAGCAGAGCATGACTGGACTAAATGGATTTTGCTTGAGGTGTACAGGAATGTGGTCTGGATCCAGGGAGGCAGGATAGGAGCTGCACTGGGGTTGGGATTCACGCTCTGCAGTTGTGCCCACAGGTGCTGGCAGAGAAGCGGAGCTTGGGCAGCAGGGATGGGCCCCCACACCTCGTGGTTCTGGTGCTGCTGCACAGCAGGGCTGCAGCCCACGACAGCCTCCGCCTGCTGCAGAGCCAGGACTCGGCTGTTGTCCACACGGATGAGGGGAGCAAAGCTGGGGGCTTTGCCCTCCTCTGCCCCCGGCTCAAGCAGCGCTGGCGCTTTGTCACGGCACAGGCAGGTGAGGAGGTGCAGTTGTTGGTTGGGTTCTTGGCTCCATACCCCTGCAGCGCCAGTAACGCAGTGTTTTGTGTGCAGGAGACCTTCATGCTGTCTTAGACCTTGCCAAGGTTGCCGACTCTCTCCTGTTCATCCTGGATCCTGCCGATGGCTGGGACAGCACAGGGGAGCATTGCCTCTCCTGCCTCTTTGCACAGGGGCTCCCCAGTTATGGTGAGAAGTGTTGAGTTCTGCTGGGGATATAGAGCAAACAGATTCAGACACCTGCTTGCTAAATTCAGGTCCTAGGCCCTTATCTCCACAGTCTCATTTAATCTCAAAATGTGATTTCTGAAGACAGGTTTTCTGTCTTGAATGTTCTTTTGAATGTGTGAATCACAGAGTAGTCAGGGTTGGGAGACACCTCTGGATATCATCCAGTCCAACCCCCTTGCCAAAACAGGGTTACCTAGAGCTGGTGACACAGGAACATGTCCAGGTGGGTTTTGAATGTCTCCAGGCAGAGACACTCCATGCCCTCCCTGGGTAGCCTGTTCCAGGGCTCTGCCACCCTCAGTGGAAAAAAAGTTCTTCCTTGCATTGAGGTGGAACTTCTTATGCTTTAGTTTATGGCCATTGCTCCTTGTCCTGTGTCTGGGCACCACTGAAAAGAGTGAAACTGCCTTTGCACCTTATGGTGCAAATCTGTTGGGTTATTTAGGTTGCTGATATGAGTGTTTGTCAGTGTTAGGTAAAAGTGGCATAAGAAGGTTTATGATCTGACCCTGAGCTCTGCTCTATGCTTGGCAGCTCTTGCTGTCCCAGGGGGCAGTGACTTGCCCCCTAAGAAGAGGATAGATGCCAGGAAGAAGCTTGCCAAGGCCATTGAGAAGCGCTTTCCCGAGGACAAGCTGTTCCCCCTGAACACAGAGCAGGAGTCCTCACTGCTGCTGAGGCATCTCAGCACCCAGAAGCAGCGGCACATTGCGTTCCGGGACCGGCGGGCTCACCTGCTTGCCTATGCTGCTGAGTTTGTGCCTGGTCAGGAGAGCAACCTAGTTGGGACCTTGAAGGTGTCTGGCTTTGTCCGGGGACAGACCCTCAATGTGAACAGCCTGGTGCATATTGTGGGGCACGGAGACTTCCAGATCAGCCAACTGGATGCGCCTCCTGACCCTCTCTCTTTGAATCCCCGAGTGGTTAAAGGACAGAAGAAGAGTCAGGACATGGAGGTACAGGTATGTGGGGTTAGGGCTTTTCTGGTCTTCTCAGAACACAAGGTTTCTAAATTTTCATTAGGAATATACAACTGGATTGTATGTGTTGAGGTGTATGTGGGTAAGGGGAGGGGAAAGGGAGTTGTATCTGTGTTCTGCTGCTGGGCTGAGGTTCTTTGCCCATGGCTTTTAATAAAGGTTAAGTCATGACATGGTGCACATGATAGTGAAAGGAGTTTCACTGGAAACTGATTGCAAGTCTCAGGTGTGTTCAGAGCTGGGAACTCTGCTCTTGCCCTTCAGGATGACTCTGCAAATGGTGCCGATGAAATGGAGGAAGATATTAAGGTCCTGATGAAGGCAAATCCAAGCAAACAGGAGTCTTTGCAGTCAGAAGTGGTTCCTGATCCGATGGAAGGAGAGCAGACATGGCCTACTGAAGAGGAGCTGCAAGAAGCAGAGGGTAAGTAGCAGCAATAGTTCTGTACCTTTTATTTGTCTCTGTTAAGAGGGTTGTTAGAAACCTTTGCCACCAGGATGACTGTGAAGAAACATCCTAGTTGGGAGACCAGGGCTTCCATCCCTAGTCCCATCCCCTGACTAGCAGCCTGTGTGCTTTTCCTGGTAGTTAAGGTTAGATTTTGGCTGTCCTGACAAATTCTGTGCTGAAAAATAGCAGTTCTGGTCTAGAGCTGTTCTTGGCTGTCCTGGTGCAAAAGTTGCTGAGGGGAAGGAGAGTTGTTCCTGTATTAACCACTGGTGGGAATTCTACAGATGCTCTGAAGGCAAGCAGGAGGGTGGTGAAGGTCCCCAAAGGCACATCCAAGTACCAGGCTGCCTGGATTGTGGATGATGGAGAAGAAGGCAGTGAGAAAGATGATGATGATTATGATGAAGATGATGACATCGATGATGATCTGATGGAAGAGGCAGTTTCCCAGGTACTTGCAAGAGCTGATAGTACAGGTGATCGCCAGGGTGTTACTGCATATTCTAGGACAATCCAGTCCTACCAACTTGCTGCATTCAAGGACAGGACACAGAGCCAGGGTTTGCCTGGATTTCTACTGTTAAATCCTCACATGTATCATGTTGCTTCTTTGGCTTGTTAAGACACCAAAATGAGGGGCTGGGGTCACAAATCACACAGTGTGAGCACACACAGGGTTTCAGTGCTGCAGGGACAGCTCTGTGTGCTCATGGGCTCTGTGCTGTTCTGTGTCAGGAGGGGGAAAGCAGTGAGGAGGAACCTGGAGAGGAGGAGAGTGAGACCATGACTGTTCCCGAGTCCTTGCGGGATGACCAGTACGATGAGAAGATGGAGGAGGATGAACAGATGCTGGAGAAATACAAACAGGAGAGAATGGATGAAATGTTTCCAGATGAGGTGGATACACCACGTGATGTACCTGCCAGGGTCCGGTAAGAAACAGGCTGCTTTGCTGGGAGAGGAGCTGGAAGGTGCCTTTCTGTCTAGTTTGGTGAGGAAGCCTATGATGTCTTAGCCATGGTGTCTGAACCTGGCTGAAGGACTCTTGTGAAGACTCATTCCTAGGCTCTGAGGCTTCCAGGGCAGGCACTAGTTGGGGGGCAGTGGGTGGGCCTGGACAGCAACCTGTGGCAGGGAGAGCTGGGTCCTGACCTGGGAGAGGGAGGAGGATGGCACTGATGTAAGGGCAGGTGGTTTGGGGATTTGACTGCTGGTTTTAGCTCTCTGCACCAAGATGTTTCATGAGGACTAACATTTGCTTTGTTCCCTTTGCCCCCTCTGCAGGTGTGAATCCCTGCAGACCACAGAAGGTGCTGGTCATGCACCTCAATTAGTGAAGTAGTTTGTCTTTCCTGTTACCTGTTCACTAGGTTTCAGAAGTACAGGGGGCTGAAAAGCTTCCGGACTTCTCCATGGGACCCCAAAGAGAATCTTCCAAGGGATTATGCCAGGATTTTCCAGTTCCAGGATTTCTCCCGAACCAGAAAGAACCTCTTCCGGCAAATAGAGAAAGAGGAGACAGAAGGAGCCTCGGTAACTCCCTTTTGCTGATATCTTTCCTTACTGTATTCCCTTGCTCCTAATAGGAACAATTTATCAGGGAGGTGGCTGGGTGGATCTTTCCACCAGCTGGTTCTTAGCATGGAGCTGTAAGTTCAGATGATGTTATTCTCCTGGATCCCCTCCCTAACCCAGACACATGATACTTCTTACACTTCTCTGTTGAGAGAAGTATTCACAACCAATCCTGTCTTGGCAGGTGGGCTGGTACATTACCCTTCATGTCTGCAATGTCCCTGCCTCGGTGATGGAGAGCTTCAGGGAGGGAAAGCCTCTGGTCCTGTTCTCGCTGCTTCCCCACGAACAAAAGGTGATTGTCTGGCTCTGCTGGTATCTTGTAGGTGTGCAGCTCATGATTTCCCAGGCTGCATGGATTGGTGAGGCTCTGGCTGCAGAGGGTTTGGGCTGAAATTTCCCTGGATTGCTCCTGTTTCAAACTAGGACCTTCTCTTTGGTCAGAGCAGACAGAAGCTGCCAGAGGGGTTTAGGATGGAGTGTCTGAGCCTGGCACTGGTAGCCAGTGATCCTTTGGGAAGTCATTGTCTCTGCTGCCAAGTCCTGTTGCTTTCTGCTGTCCACCCTTGCCTGCCAGCCCTGCTGTCAGCCCCTCACCGTGCTGCCTCTTGCAGATGTCCGTATTGAATTTCCTGGTGCGTCGGCATCCAAGCAACAGTGAACCAGTGAGGGCCAAGGAGGAGCTCATCTTTCACTGTGGGTTCAGACGCTTCCGAGCTTCTCCCCTATTCTCCCAGCATACCTCAGGTTTGTGAGGGACTGGTGGGGTGGGAACAGGGATACCGGGAGATGGAGCTGGGGGTTCTGGAGCAGGAAGCCAATGATGTCTTAGCCATGGTGTCTGAACCTGGCTGAAGGACTCTTGTGAAGACTCATTCCTAGGCTCTGAGGCTTCCAGGGTAGGCACTAAATAGTGGATAGAGGACAGGGCTGGGCCAAGTGGTTCAGGGAAGGTGGTGGCAGGTTCCACGCAGTGAACCAGTAGCTCAGAGGAGCACCTTTGTTCCCAGGTACTCTGTGTCAGCAGAGGAGGGATGTTTTTTCATCTCTCTTCTTAAGAGCCTGTTTGCCAGGGAAGAATGGGCTCGGTGGTGTTTCCTACTGTTCTGAGGACTGCTGTTGGCCTGAACTTGATCACTGCTCTTCTGTCCTAGCTGATAAGCACAAGCTGGAGCGTTTCCTGCGCCCGGATGCTGGCCTGGTGGTGACTGTTTATGCTCCCATCACCTTCCCTCCTGCCTCGGTGCTGCTTTTCAAACAGAGAAGTAATGGTAAGTTGATAAAAGCTGAGGAGGTGGTGGGGAACAAACATTATCAGGCTGTTCCTACACCCTGCTTACAAGTGCATCTCTCTAGAAATAGGACTTGAAAAAGCTGTCCCCTTCCTGCTGTTTGAGGAGATGAACCCATTTCCATTGCTGTTGTCACTGTCACCTTTCTCTGCCCTGGCTGTGGGGTTGCTCTGGGCCTGGAACCCTTTGGGGAAGGGGGTTGTGGTGGGGGAGGCCCCTGCCCTGGTGCATTGTTGACTTTGCCTTGCAGGAACACATGACCTCATTGCCACGGGCTCTCTGCTCTCTGTGGACCCCGACAGAATCGTCATCAAGCGACTGGTGCTCAGTGGACATCCCTTCAAGATCTTTGCTAAGATGGCTGTTGTGCGATACATGTTCTTTAACAGAGGTATGGCTTCTCTCCATGTGGTGGGAAGAGGGGATGTGGAAGCAGAACTCCTCCCCATGTGGAAGTGTTTGTGTTGGTGCAGCACAGACTGTTCCTCACTTGCCTTTTGCGTTTGATCTCCAGATGACGTGATGTGGTTTAAGCCTGTGGAGCTGAGGACAAAGTGGGGACGTAGAGGACACATCAAGGAGCCACTAGGTAGGTTTGATCTGGTATTTATCTCTGGTGCTGGGATGGTGTGGTCCTCCTGGGCTGGAGAGATGGCCCATGACATCTTCTGCTCTCTGCCTAGGGACCCATGGCCACATGAAGTGCCAGTTCGATGGACAGCTCAAGTCTCAGGACACAGTGCTGCTGAGCCTCTACAAGCGCGTTTATCCCAAATGGACTTATGACCCCCATGTTCCGGAGCCTGTGCCCTGGGTGAGGAGTGAGAGTGCAGTGCCAGAGCAGGAGGTGGAAATGGAATGAGTCTCCAGCATGGCTGGAGTTTGTGCCTTGGCTCCCTGGATGCTGTTGTTGGCCTGTGCACAGTGAGGACAGCACTGATGCCTTGGATGTGTTACTGCTGGGGTCTGTACAGGGGCAGCTGTCTCTCCAGCTGCTGCTCAGGTACCAGCTATAGCTATTTATTTTAATGGAAAAACCTGAAAAATACCTAAGTGCCTCTGTCTTGGTGGTGGCCAGGAGGCTGT